TCTCGCGATCACGTGCGCCTGAGCCTTGACGGTGACTGGTCAGACTGGTTCCATGTAAAAAATAATACCCGGGAATAGCGATCAGCTGCTTCACTTAGGGTTATTATTATTTTAAATATGTTTAGTAAAGGCTGCATATAATTAAGAAAATAATGGAATATATTATTCCTGATAAAAAAAATAAATTTCAGATACAATTGTTGCTGATCCTTGCATTAAAAATCCTATAAAGTTATATCATTGGGTGTGTCTTAACCGAATCACCGGTCAATTCCAAGAAATCGTGTGTACAGCTGATTGCTGTTTCCGGCTTACTTTAAGAGAAAATACACAATGTAATCTTAATCCCTAGATATAAAACAATGCCTAGCAGAACAATAAATACTATTTAAACAGTAAATAAACATGTCTGGTGATTTTTTTATCTCAAATTTCGAATTTGTACTGACGAAGTTTCTCAGCACCCGTTCGTTTGCCGGACTTCGCTGAAAGGGTACGGTGTAAATTTTTTCTGCGCATAATATTGAAATTTCTTTTTTTCAAAAATATTGAACCCGCTAGAGGGGGGTACGCATTATACATGGGTGCGCACTATACTCAAGAAAATACGGTAACTGATTTAATGAAGAACTTAACTAATTCAAAGAAGAACTTAACTGATTTAATGAAGAACTTGACTGATATAAAGGATGAAAGGTTGATATAATAATAAAAGCTTCGACTACTTTGATAAAGGTCATGAAAGGAAGTTCTTTTGCTTAAAAAAGTAACAATATTTTCAGGCTTTCAAGAATTTATATGATGAGCAAGCATCTGTCTTAGACCCACTGCACGGATCATTTAACATGTATGGTAAACAATACTCAGGAAGCTTAGCTTGTAGCCATACCTTGCCATTAGGCGATATTTCCGATGATAGAATACAGACACTAACAATATAATAATGACAGAAACACATTTACCAGTTGAAAACAGAGGCTAAGGATCTGAAGCTTACCCGTTCTCAAACTGTATTTGTTTATTGACAAAAGAAGTTTCTGTAAGACATGACACCACATATTACCCACTAAGCATGCTCTAAAGTAATACTAATGAGAGCGAGTGAGTGGGTTGGGTTTAAAGCTGCTTTCAACGCTATTCCTGTCAGCTTGGCGTGGAAGGAAAGCTGTAAGTGACGTGAAACCCACGAGCATGTGCAAACCTAGAAACATAATCAGGGCGCACCGGGATTCGAGCCCACGTCCTAAGGGACGCAACTCTGCATGACGAGTTAGATGACGGCTCATAGGAGAGAGTTTTGTTCAATGCTGCTGTATTTCAATAATGCCAGGGTAACTAAATGAAGGAGCAAACCCAACTTCAAAAGGTAAAAGATGTTTATCACTCTGGTGAAAAGGACAGAAATTAGGATCGAACCTAGGATCGGAGCACTGATGCCGGGATCTTCACGGGTCTACAGCTGTGTAGATGGGTGGTGCATAATAAAGACACAGACATTGAATTTTGATTAGTTTTCTTCCTCCTAACTCCTAGCATTACCATAAACATTTTAACAAATCTGTTATGAAGTGGGAAGGTGTTAACGAGAAGAGTTAACAAAAGTGAGCAGTTTATGGTCTAAGACAACGAGGGTTAATGCGTATGATTGGCCATAACCTAAACTGATATGGCACTTGGGATCAGATGAACTCCACAACCATCAACATCTGTGATTGTGTTAGCACCCCTACACTTCCATTCAAAGCACCATTAACCCAAATATCTTGTGAAATTAATACAAACATTTACACAAATCTCATGAACAACAGTATTTGATGGTACACAAGTACCATGGTTTGTGATAAAGCAAGCGTTATTGTTATCGCACATCTTATACATCCACCTCCAAGTAACTCTATATCCACGAGTACAAAGCCCCTGTCCCTGTCATGCATGGTGGCTAAAACAATATACCATCCATCCCTATTATAGCACATCTGGTGAACCACTTGCTTTACCATACATCATCTCTCTACCATGATGCCATACACACTCTGTGTAGTGTCAATTCAAGATAACAGATTAATTAATGGACAACGTAAGTACTAGATTTAGGTCACATGTATCAGCGTTATATAGGAGAGTATACATACCCGGCCCCTGAAGTCTCATTACCGACAGTTCTAAACAATGAAGATTGCCAACACACCTACAGAGCTTATAACAAGGTCTATGTTTGTATTTGTGCTCCACAATAATATACCAACAGTTCTGATGAGGAAGGTCACAGCTTTATCTGCAGGCAAACAGGGAATAATAGCTCATATCTACCACCTGGGGGCTTCAAACATCATTCGTGTTGCTGTCAAACTGGTCAGAAGGGTAGTGCCATGGCATTTCAGAATTACAGGAGAACATGTGTCATATTTGATATGAGTGAGTGTGAGGTTAAGGCCGGTTGGAACAGAATTACAATATACAGCGACAGAAACTAATTATATAACGGTTTTAGTCCACTAGTCCTTAAAATGATAACATATAGCAAAACCTTGATAAAGGCCAAATTTCTACTAGTTCTCAGGATACCTTAACTAATGGGCAGTTTGGCAAGGACTACAGGACTAGTGCCAATTTCTAACGCTGATATATCACAGAGTATCAACTTGATGTGGAAGGAAACCCCACAACAGTGGTGGTTTTTGAATTTCATTACTTTGGTGTCGCACAGTCGCCTTTTATGGCAAGTATGGGTAGCAGGAGACCTATTCTACCCCGGATCTTCGCGGGTCTTACCCTTAATGCAACAGGCTTATTTCCGCTATGCACACATGGTTTTAAGATGGCTTCACCCATGGTCAAATAGACAATACCAATTTGAAATGTTTGGCATGCATTTGTGCACAGGTATGTGCTGTAGTATGTTCCAAATTAGAAGTAATTTTAGTTCATCTGTTATGAACTTCATTTGTATGATATTCTTAAAATAAAATATAAAAATGCACCTAGATTCGTAGTCAGTGTTTTTTAATTCAAAATCAATAGGAGTGAGTGAGTGAGTGAGTGAGTGAGTGAGTGAGTGAGTGAGTGAGTGAGTGAGTGAGTGAGTGAGTGAGTGAGTGAGTGAGCGAGCGAGCGAGCATGGTTATACGCTGCTTTAAGCAATATTCAGCGTTGGCACTAGTTCCGTAGTCCTTGCCAAACTGCCCAATGGTTAGGTATCATAAGGACTAGTAGAAATATGCCATTTTTAAGGGTTTTACTATACGTTATCATTAGAAGGACTACTGGACTAAAACTGTTAGTTTCTACTGCTGAATACTCCAGCAATATCATGGTGGGGGACACCACAAGTGGGCTTTACACATTGGTACCCATATGGGAATCGAACCCTGGTCTTCGGCGTGACGAGCAAACGCTTTAACCACTAGGCTATCCCGTCGACCCCAAAATCAGTTGGAGTAAAAAGGTCCTTAGAACCCATGATCAGTAGACTGGCATGACATGGCTAAGGGCATAAACAGCACAGTTATTTGGGGTGCCAGTAGACAAACTGTATTCTCCCATTTGAAATGAGACCAAGGTACCAACTATTTTGATTGATTATCAGGAGTAATACCAGGTAGATTAGGTATGCAGTGTCTGAAACAAAATAAATTGCCAGGCTGCCATCAAGACCCACAAACTTTAGAAGCCGCTGGCCCTGACTAAACTCTCCAGGCCCTCATTAAAAAAAATGCAGCTTACTGTAACAAAAAAATGGACATGTCATTTTACTGCAGGCCATAAGGACCTGACATTAGATCTACCTGCCACAGGCCTACGGGCAGGCGCTTATATCGAACACGGGAGGAATAAGAATTAAAGGGCTCAATTGACCTACAGGCATGTTATAGAAAGTGGTTATATGATTTCTCTCTTGTTTGTCCCTTGCACATACTCTCAAAGGCTTAAAAAATGTTTTAAAGAGTTTCTCTGTACAGAAAATATATATATCAGAGGTTTTGAGCTCCACTACATACTTTCAACGTTCCCATTTGGTCTCCCTGCATTAGATGATGACTAAATGCAATAGTCAAATGAAGCTGTGACACTATAAAACTGATTTATTTCCTATTCCCTGTGCCTCGTGCCATCTGTGAAGACTAACAAAGATATTTTTACTTAATATAATTAGTACCAGGTGAGCTACTAATCTGACCTTGCCTTCACGATATTCAGATCTTGATATATGCCTACATTGCCGTCTTTCAGTCTAGGTGAGCTACAAATCTGGCTTGGCCTTCAGGATATTCAGATCTTGACATATGCCTACATTGTCTTCTTTCAGTCTAGGTGAGCTACAAATCAGACCTTCCCTTCACCATACTCAGATCTTGACATATGCCTACATTGCCTTCTTTCAGTAGAGGTGAGCTACAAATCAGACCTTGCCTTCACAATACTCAGATCTTGACATATGCCTACATTGCCTTCTTTCAATCTAGGTGAGCTACAAATCTGATCTTGCCTTCACGATACTCATTTCATGACATATGCTCGCATTACCTTCCTTTCGTCCAGGTGAGCTACAAATCTGACCTTATCCTCCTAAGACTGCTACAGCTGCCTACTTGCCTCATTCAGTCGGCTACTCCAAGTCTGACTGAAAAGGCTGCCTAATGGAAGTTTCTTTGAGGTCCTAAACTGCATGAAAATGTCTTTGAAGGTCCCAAGTCATCATGGAAATTTTATTCAAGTTTTTATATCCAAAATGAAAGGGCTACGTCAGGGTCTTAGGTCTTCCTGGAAAATATTGTTTTGTAAATGAACATCCTTATCCAAATTTCATTTAAAGTTGTATAGGTCTTAATAGAAATCTCTAGTTCAAGTTGTCTGAAAATAAGCAAGGTTAAGCCAATTGGTAGTATGAATCATGCACCTTTCATTAGTTGATACTCCTAAAGGTATAGCACGGTATGGGCGATCTAATTGATTTGTTGTGTCTTGATGAGCTGTGCTGGTGGTGGTTGCAGGTGACTTACTTGTTCATGAGATTTCCGATCCTGGCACACTCATCCTTCTCATAGAACCAGATGCCGTAGATATCTGTAACATGAACAACAACTGTGTAACACATGCACCAAACACACAACGGAGGAATGAGAACATTGCCTGAATTACTCAGCACAAATAAAGAGAGAGTCTAAGCAAGTTGGATTCAAGTCATTCAAACACCACATGCTTTCACTGCTTACTCAAACTTTATGATGGATGTCAATCTAGCAGTCAATGGTCGCAGAAACAATACCTCAGTTTCACACGTGGCACTTGTCACATCTAGATCAAGGTGAGGCGAAAAAGAGTATAAACATACACTTATATAGTGATGTGTGTAGGTGTACTTGGACTTGGACTAATGCCGATTTTATAGTGCTAGCCCACTGAGATACCATGCCACAATTTAACAAGGACACTCTACTCAGACATTATACTGACTCCGAGCCGGTCAGTCCTCGTCTTATACTCTTGAAGCTGACTGCCAGACAGGGTAACCACAAGTACCATCTTTAACACCTTTTGAAATGATCCAGCCAGTGGATTGAACCACAAACTGTCTGCTCTCCAGGCGGACACTCTGTCCATCACATCATGGAGGCTGTTTCACATTTTGACTAATACTGGAAATCGGCACCAGAGTGTGAGGTCCCCAACATTTAACAGGTCAGGGTTGTTTGTAAATCTAGCTCTGTTTGAAGCTGATCCAGAAAGATTCTTGCAATAATTTTTGACTATGGATGAAACCTGGGTTCACCACTTCCAGCCAAACAGCAATCTGCAAGTACTTTAACACTGCACATACCTAAAATTTATCCATTTTCCAAATGTCACAGACCCCTGCTTATTTTACTGACTTTGTGGATATACATCTATGACATCACGTAATATCCACAACCAAAGATTTCACTATTACAATACTTTGATGTTGGGATCAGAACTCATCAATCAACCCTTGTAATCAATATGTAATTTGAATGGGTCATAGTTTAGAGGATACAAATTGTGTTGGTTGGTTTGTTGTTTAACGTCGCACTCAGCAATATTCCAGCTATATGACGGCGGTCTGTAAATAATGGAGTCTGGAGTGATTAATATCATGAGCATCGATTGGCGCAATTGGAGTCGATGACATGCATCAACCAAATCAGCGAGCCTGACCACCGCAAATTGTGATGCTTCTGACTGCATTGGCCTACTGAATATCCTACCCAAATAATACATCTGAGACACAAATAAACCAACTATTACGTTGAAAACTGTATTCCAAAAGAAAAGCATACGAAATACCATAAAGCAAGAAATTAATATAAGAAGAAATTAATGTGAAAAATCTGATTGTCCCTGAATGCTTGCATTAATAATTTGATGCATTATATTCTGGACTTAATGGTGTTTACAGCGTTAGAATTGGCACTAGTCCTATAGTCCTTGCCAAACTGCCCAATAGTTAAGGTATCATAAGGACTAGTAAAAATTTGCCCTTTTTATGGGTTTTGCTATATGTTATCATTATAAGGACTAGTGGTCTAAAACTGTTGGTTTGTTAATGTAACACTATGTTTATTGTCAAGTCAGGTTCACTGCACATGCAACAATGACAAGCAAAACTCATGTGGTGAATTGTACAGCACATAACAGCGGTCGTGCTCAAAACTAAACACTGCTCATTAATTAAAAAAATTACAATCAGGATGGTCAAGACTCACGCAGCACATAGAAACTATAGAATGTTTGTCAGTTTAAATGACATTTGAAAGGGATATAACATACCTCAAAGTCTTTACTCAATAAGCCAGGGGAAAGATAATATGCCCTTGTATTGTCAAAACAATGGGGAAATTTGTACTAGCCCGAATGAATTTGTACTAGCCTCTGGCTAGCAGGCTAGTGGGCTTGTGTTATGTTCTAACCCTGATATTAGGCTATCACTCAATACCATATGATGGACTTCTAATCTACAGCCATTCTAGTTCTCTCAATAAATGTTACACTTGAAAGGTAGTGGGCACTCACATTAATTTCATGATGCACTTCAGGCTTGGGGTCGACACTTGCATCTATTTTGCAACCAGTTAATTTTATGACTTACAGTAGAACACACAGCATGAAAAGAATATGCTGACAGAACACAAAGTATCAAAACTTCGGCATTTTGAGTTGAAGGTTTTCCTAACATTAATTATGACAGCATCAGATTCACAACTCAGCAATAGCGCATAATAAAGTGTCCCAGGGGGAGGTAACTCTCTTGCAGGGGAAATACATTACCACCAGCTCTATCCCGCTCCACCCAGCATGCAACCTTTTTGACTATGAAAGACATCATTTGATAAATCTAGAACTGCACTACCAAATCTTTATAATTACTGATATAGGAACCCACAGAAAATGATGACCCTGAGATGCAGCCAACTAACTGTATGGCTAATTACAGCAGGGTGTCATAGCCTGGGCAGACACCTGTGACAAGGTTTCAACACTGAAGACATATCCAGTTCCATCAGCTAACAGGCTACGTTTCTCCAAGATGTTCACCCTGGTGCAGGAACATGATCTGATTCCTTCTCTCAGGCCCCACATATGGCTCGTTAATGCTGATCTAATCAAGGAAGATGCTTGCAAAAGTAATCAAGAAGGATTGGAGAGATGTAACAAAATCTAGTCAATTGAAAATCAAGTGTTTACCACCTTTGATGTAGGCTCTTCAGCTGTATGAGGACCTGCTCAGGTTGTCTCAGTCGATTGAACATTTGGCTGAAGGTCCTCGCTTACATTAAAAAGTCCTTGCAGGCTCAAAATTCTATGAAGCTCTTCAAACAAAATTTAGAAATATTTTCTCATTGAAAGAGACCAAGTAAACACTGATAGCTCCCACAAACTTAGGCATTTAGGACTTGTTAAAGATAAATTTGAATGTTTCAGCTGTAAAATGTAAAGATCATAGATTAGCTTTCGCTAAACTAAGACTCAGTTGCCATAATCTGGAGATTGAAAGAGGCAGCTACACAAACATGCCTGTCGACCAGAGAATATGTAAATTATGTAACAAGATAGAAGACAAAAAACACTTCCTTTTGTACTGTCCAAATTATCGTTATGAAAGACAGTTACTTATTTGAACACTAGATTTATTTAACTGCCAAAATGATGATAAAATCTTTGCAAGTATCCTAAACTCCTGCCTTGAAAAAGCAAAATATGTTTCACATATTATCTCTGACATGTTTAGTAAAATATCCTCTCTTGTAGACAACATCTTACTCCAACTATTGTGTCTTATCAATACAGTATCTACATTATTAAAGTGTACGCTGCCAGCCACCTCATGATATACATGTATATAGATGTTTATACACTATGAGTGAAAATGTCATATCTCTATATATAATGTACATCTTGTATATCTACCTTTCATGTTGATAGTTATATTTATTCCATATGTAGATAGTTTGTACCCTGCCCTACGAGGGTGTTCTGTACAATAAAAACTCTGACTCTTGACACATTATCTTGGTAGGGCCATTATGGCTATGTCCTAACATCAGGTTCATGTCATAAGCCTAATTCCCTAACATGTTGCAACCTTTGCTTATTCCCCATCAAACTTGAGCTTGGAGGAACAGGATGTTGTAGGATAGCTTAATCTGGACACTACACGTTTTGATAATATTATCTGGAAATGCTAACTATCGCGAGTAAAATATCCGTTCCATGTCACAAGCTTAATTCTGTGGCATCACTTACTATGTTGTTACCTATACCCACTCCACTTCTAACCTGGCCACATAGAGGAACAAGAACTTGTAGGGCAAAGCTATGAATTTATGCACTATATTGTTCAGCCATTCTTGATTTTTATTTAGCCTAGCTAGATTTTTTCTGTACCGAAGACACATGCTTGTGAACAGTTGAGTTTTACACTACAATCTATTTTCTTTCTGTGCAACACTGAAAAATACACAAGAAGACAATGTCATCGATATCCCCCGACCTTTTAATCATAATGTTGCTAATTAACAGCAGTAAGCAATATTCAAGCTATGTTACGGGGACCTGAAAGTAATCGAGAAATAGAGAAAGAGTTCAACTTGTTATGCTGTTGCCACGGAACACACAAAATATTTTTGGAAATATTCCAGCAAATCAAATAGCACCAGTTCAGTGCATGTCGGATGTGAATACAAAGTTTCATGAAGAAATATTAAACAGTTTAAATGGTTTATGAGCTACGCTCTGGAAATGTCCCCTTCAGTCTTCAAGACCATGTTGTATGAAAAACCGAGTAAATCTTCACAATATCCCACAGACAAGGATTCTATATCAATGTCCTAATTAATATTCATGAACATGTCTGAAAAACATGTTAAATCTTCACAATATCCCATAGACAAGGATTCTATATCAATCCTCAAGACCATGTTGTATGAAAAGCCCAGTAAAGCTTTGCAATATCCCACAAACAAGGATTCTATATCAATGTCCTAATTAATATTCATGAACATGTCTGAAAAACATGTTAAATCTTCACAATATCCCACAGACAAGGATTCTATATCAATCCTCAAGACCATGTTGTATGAAAAGCCCAGTAAAGCTTTGCAATATCCCACAGACAAGGATTCTATATCACTCTTCATTAACATGTTGTAGCTTCAGGGTGTCCTATAGACTGAATCATCTGTATCTTTATCAAATAACTTTCCTTGTCTGTACTGTCAAGGTGCTACTGCAAGTACTTCAATTTCAAGATGAGCAGAAAATCCCCTTGGCTCAATTTCTTGATGGGAATAGCTGCTGTTATCATAAGATAACATCTTTTTCAGTCTTATGTTTAATTTGCTGGCCCATAGATGCCTATCATTTAAACATAAATGACAATCAAACAGTTGCAGTGTACAGTTATGGCGATAGAGAACTGTAAATAGCTGCAGTTTGAGGAATATCAAGGAGGACACTATCTCAATTTTATCATTGCGAAATAAAAGCTCATCAATTTAGATTTTCAATATAATTTCTTTACACTTATCCTTTGAAGCAAAATTCTTCTTTGACACCACATGGAAATGTAGACAACTTAGATAAACAGGGAGCGTCATAGTATGGTAGATATATTTATTACTAGCCCGTGAAGAGATCACCAGTGTAATAAACATACAGCTATATTACACATTGTATAATACCAGAGCGTGTACTTACGAGGGGCGTTCAATAAGTTTTGCAACTTCAATATAAGACCAAGTCGCAGAATATCTTTTGCACTTTTATTTTTCAATATAATCTTCATTCACCTCAGTAGACTTATTCCATTTGTTCTTCAAGCTTTTAATAACACTTTTATAGAATCCCGCAGATTGGCCCTCTAACCACGCCTCTGTGGCAACTTTTATGTTCGCTTCATCCTGGAAGCGTCTTCTTACGCCTTTCAGTCTGAGCTTACTTACAACAGACAGGCCAATACTTGTCTTATGCCTTGAAATGGTCCAAACTTGTATTTAAATACGATAGTCATAATTAACATAAGGGTTCAAACCTTTCAGTATATTTCCAGACCCAAACATTATCAAACTGGTCCTATGTTCAACAAAGGGGTCAATAGATCTACATAATATCACATTTGCTTTTGGTAAGTAGTGAGTTAGTGAGTGAATGATGTCTTTTGTCACAGTCAGCAATATTTCAGCTATATCTCACAGCAACCATTTATTAGTCCAGTCTGGGTCAGATGAACCTGTAATTAAAATTATGAATAATGTCAAGGTGCAGCGGCATGCATTCTGCAAATTCACCTAGTGCCCATTTTGTCACCCTTTATGAAAAGCTTCTCCTGCAGACTAATATTGCCAGAGCTCGAAATAAGCTGTGTCTTTGCGTAAAGTATGCATAAAATAAACCGAAATATGCAGACAAATCCAATCTGTGTGTATCAAATACTATAAATACACTATTAAAATGTATATATTATAATTTTTACATAAAACAATTGCATATATTATAACTGTTAGATAAAATGATTGTGTATCAGCCGATCGCCAAATTCACTTACCGACAGTTACATTCGGAAAAGCTTCTGCGACAAACATACTGATAGATGCCAATTGAAAAGCAGATCGTGCCTAGTCAATGTAAATGTTGTACCTTAATTAGTCGCTGATTGGAGATTAAAGAAATAAACAAATTAACAAAAAATGGCTTCCTGGAGAGGGAGATGCAAGCAGACGCAGACGGGTATACTACTATTAACATATTTCTAAATGATTTACAGGGAAACAGGTTTAAGATAATACCAAAATGTGAACAAACAGGGAGCAAAATTTTGTTTGAACACACTCTAAAACTTGTGGATATCCAATCAAAATCAAACCCCTGGGTAAATTACCCCCAAAATCAAAAGTTTATCTAGAGCTCTGATTGTGTCTTGAGTAAAACAAAGACTTACTTTTGGCATTTCTGTAGAGGAGGAAGGGGTCCTGCACCTGGAACTCCAAGTCCTTGGTGATTGGCTCGATGAGGTTGTTGAGACCCAGTCGATTCAGAATCATGAAACCTTGAAGTGGGGTGGCAGACCTGTCAAATAAAGATAGAAGAATAAAAACTAGTCACACCCACTGACTTGTCAAGTAATCTGGAGCACTTGGCAACAATGTACGGTAACAACTAGTAATTAGTTCTGTCTGTCAGCCAAGACACCCTGGCACTGGGCGAGAAGGAAAAGAACATGTTCGGTTGGGAATTAGCCTTGAAGTAAGACATTTTGATGAAATAGGCTCTCCACTGAAGAATGTTGATTTATTCTAAATGTACACTTTCATTTGAACCAAAGGTTAACAAATCAATGATGCAAGCCGTGGCAATGATTCACTGGAAGACTTCCATCACTGAAACAGTTCAATAAACTAGGCAAACATCGTACAAGTATCGCTGAAGGATAGCCTACATGGGCTAAGACAGGATTCAATGAACAAATCATACCACTGTTAATCATGGTAAGAACATATCTTTGATCTTGTCAAAGTGGCCAAGTTTAGACACCCTGAATACCAAACATGACCCATCTTACCATGATTTACAACTACACCAATAACGTAATTATTACACAGGTCATACATTTCACTGGATCATACCAAAAAGGTTCTCAAAGAATGCTTGATTTAGAACATTATTTCAAGCCGGCAAACCTAGTGCCAAATAGGTGAAGCCACTGACCCACTCTATGTTCCACCAGAGCTACCATTTCTAACACCCTGTTCACATGCACCACGCTTTTTCTCACGTATGTATATTAACACCAGGAGCAAATTTACATGTCTGGAGCAGGTGCAAAAGTAAATGTAAATTTGCACTGTATGTATATGTTGTAATGTGAACGGTTATGCCAAAGTCACAGGATGATCTAATAACTATATATCTGTTGTTTTGCCACTAAACAAATTGTAAACACTTCTCTATTCTGAAAAATGACACAATTCAGACTACAGCAATACCAACTTTTATGCTGACATTCACAGCTGGGTGGACAGTGTTTTCTTTGCGTCTTAAAGGGCAAGTTCACACGGAAATGAACCTATTTTTCTTGTACTTTTTCCACATTAAAAGTGTTAACATAGAAGTGTCATAGACAAAAATATAAAAATATCACAATTAATTAACATATTTTTCGCATTAAACGATTTATATTTTTCACATTTACCAAGTGTTCTATTTCCACAACAAAAACACCATGGCTTATGCCCCTTGCAATATGACGTCATTGGTGCCAATTGATAAACATTATGACGTCATCATGCTTATTTGGAGCCGCTTCACGTGGTGTAGGTCCAGGTGTGTGATTCTAGCGTCTCAGATGCCAGCCAGCATAGTGTTATGCTGAGTCACCACTGCGCCGGAGTGTGTCGTAGACCATGTTGTTTTACATAAAAACTGGTCCTTGATATCTTTTGCGTTGAGAACAGACAGGGACCCAGTTGAATTAGCACCAATTACGTCATAATCTAAGGGGGATAACTCAGGCCTATTTTGCTCGTAAAACGAAGGCCTCATAACGGCATATCATTTTCACACTATTGTGAGCTTCCTACTTTCACTGTGAGAAAAAATGAGTGTATATTTTCAAACACAGATACTAACTAATTCTAAAATTGCATTTTGTTTAGAAAAAGAAAGAAAGTGATTTTTGCGTGTACACTTCCCCTTTAAGGAGTCAAAACTTCATGCAAAGATTTCTGTAAGGTAACTCTCTTCTCATGATTCGAAAATAACCTTTTCATGATGAAAGTCGTGAACAGACCGATGAATAATGTGCCTTACACCATTTACATACCTCAATTTACAAACTTAAGTTAATTTTCATGTGAACGCATAGTAAATTTACATATACACATGCGTGTATAGTTACACATGTGCAAAATTACGTATGTGAGTAAATGTTGTGCATGTGAACGGGGTATAAGTTTCAATAAAGGCAATAAGGCAAATACAGCAGGGGTACACCCTATAGGTCAAATCCAACTTGTCAACAGTTCATTTTGAGAGTTTTGAATTGACAACATACTGCAATACATAAATCAAATATCACAATATTCATTTTCTTCACAGAAACACCCCTGACTCAGGTAGTCTACATGGAATGGATACCCCCAGACAGTGTAGGGCAGTACAGAGAGTGCAATGTTCTGGGAGACAGAACCCCTAACAATAGACAGGTGTGCTGTGTAGCCCACTGCCCTGCGTGACTAACTGATCTGCTCGGCACGTGTACTGCTCGCTCACAGACGTAATACAGAATTATGGATGCTGACAGAGATGGAATAAGGCGGTGTGTAGAGATAAATATCATATGTGGCCACTGCTAGTTATTAGCCTGTAATCTGGAGAGGCTCTGCAACTTGTTGGAGAGAAGATCAAGCGTTCTATGCTCTCTTCACCTCCTCATACTGGTAATGGATCATCGAGCTTGAGAAAAATATCAACAAAGGAGTGAGTGATCGTCAGCTACAGTGAAATATCAGCAATGGAGTGACTGAGTGATCATCAGCGATCACAGTGAAATATCAGCAAATGAGTGAGTGAGTGAGTGGTTGTCAGTGACCACCATAAAATATCAGCAATGGTGTCAGTGATCGTCAGCTAGTGAAATATCAGCAATGGAGTGAGTGAGTGAGTGGAGTGAGTCATCTACAGTATAATATAAGGAAAAATTGAGGGTGCGAGTGAGTGAGTGAATGAATGAATGAATGAATGGGATAGATAAGGTCAGACGAGGATAAGAATGTAATTTACTTTTACTTTAAAACCCTATTTTGGAATTTTCAAAATGAATGTACTTTTTAAACATTGCTCCTTATCATGGTTACATATATACAATGTCGACACTGTCATCATGCTCAGTCTACGTAGGAGAGCTAGTTCCTCGCAGGATAATTTCTGGGCCAGCAGTTCCATGACCTTGACCTTCATTTCAAGAGATGTCACCAATAGGGCAGGACATTCTGACCCATTTCATGAACACTTAGTGTCATTACAGTAAAATGATTAAAAAAGATTGCTAGGCAACGACTTTAAAATCAATGTGCAACAGAGTGATTTATTCTAATGACTAATAATGGTGGCATCAGGAACAGCTTTTGTCCAGTTTGCTATCTCGCTCAAAGAATTGAAAGTATTGGTTTTCAGTACCTGAACCTCACAGATAAAACAAGATGGAGAAAATTTACCTAATTATTCAGTTAACAATGTTATCAGGGTAACTATTCTTCTCTTATAAAATATATACTACACCACTTTGGATAAGAGATATTTTTAATCTTTCCCCGGATGATGACACACGAAACTGAAACTCAGAACATTTCAAGTGTGTATTTAAATATCTGACATTACGATTATCCCTATCAAAAGTTAAGAAGTATATTAACCAAAGCACCTGCGGCAATAGAAATTGGCACTTATAAGTCCTGGATAGTGACTTAGTCCTTGAAAAACTGACGGCCTCTGTGGTCTAGTGGTAGAGTGTCAGCACAGAGAGTTCGATCCCCGGCCGCGTCATACCAAAAGACGTTAAAAGATGGTACTTGTTGTTATCCTGTCTGGCGTTTGGCATTAAGGGGCTTAAACAAGCACTGGTCGGCGCGGAGTCAGTATACTGTGTTTGAGTGGGGTATTCATGGTAAACTGAGGCATGGTATCTTGGTGGGCTAGAACTATAAATGAGCATCAGTCCGCATGCACAAGCACACGCATACACACACACACACACACGGACACACACGCACACGCACGCACACGCACACACACACAGAGGCTATATAAGTGCGATAATCTTTGACGCGACGTTATACCCCATTTCACCTCATGTTGCCAAACCTCTCAAAAGTTAAGGTATCATAAGGACCAGTAGAAATTTGCCATTTCTAAGTGGTTTTTTTTATGTTATCAAATAAGGACTAGTTGAGTAAAACTGTTAGTTTCTACTGCTGACCTGACCACTAGGTTCTTCCTATTCAATTCTCTCATTCCCAATGTGTACCTCAACCCAACACAGGTAGAAAGTGATACCACACTAAATGCAAGCTCCCTTCATCCAACTCTAACCCAGTACAACACATTGTTACCACCAGCAGGCTCTGATACAGTGTCTTGGAGTACAAAAATTGGCATCCCTCACGACCACAGTCTTGGTTGGATTATACATCGGCTGCAGCCTCCCACATGGGACATGCGTGCATCACACCGCTACCTTGTGCAAAATGCCAGGTCAGGTCTGACTACGTCAAATCGGAGCACCTCATAGCATAGTGCAGTACGAAACTCGTTCCACCTGGCATCTCACTGCTTCCTATAATCCAGTCTCATGGGTCATTTTGAAAAAGCGAGAGTATTTTTTGTTGTCTGGATATTTGTACACAGGTGTTGATAATGCTTGACTTTGACCATTGTAGAACCATCTTGTTGCATTGGGAGATATATAGCTACATATACACGCTGTTGTTATGAACACTGTAGAATCATCTTGTTGCATTGGGAGATATATAGCTACATATATACTGTTGTTATGAACATTGTAGGTTTTATATGGTGTGGATGTTGAGAGTGAGTGAGTATGGTTTAACACTGCATTTATTACCAATATCCCAGCAACATCATGATAGGGGACACCAGAAGATGGGCCTCACACATTGTACTCATGTGGGGAATCGAACCTGGGCCTTAGGCCTGATGAGCAAGGTCGCTTTAACCACTAGGATACCCAACTGACCGTGGATGTTGAGAAAAGACACATCATAAATAACTTAAAGATTTCAAAAGATTTAAATAGGTAATCTATAAAAACGTAACATAAGCATGTTTTTCCTGTTGGTGCATAAACCTGACGAACTTCAGTAGTACACAATGTTTTTCAGGTTATTTTTAATAGACTCATATGCCAACACTATCAAAGAAACTAAATTAATATGGTGAAACATGAAGGTTGCAAGACATTCTTGTTGCCAAGATTACAGCACCAACATGAACTCCAAAAAAACCTTCAGTTTTCTGAAATGGCTGTGGAAAGAGTAACTATGTCTAAAGGT